CAGTAATACAAATACAGTGGGATTCCCTTTATATGAGGTTCCTGGAGAGATCAAATTCATAGAGACAGAAAATAAATGGTGATTGCTAGGAGCTGGGTTGGGGAGGCAGAATGGGGAGTTGTTTAACAGCTACAGTTTGAGTTTTGCAAGATAAGGAGTTCTGGAGATTGGCTGCACAACAGTGTGAATGTATGGAACACTACCGAATGTAAACTTAAAAATGGTTAAAATGATAAACTTTTTGTTATGTGTATTTTATCACAATTAAAAATAAAAACTTAAAAAAAATTAAGTTAGCTAATAAATTGAAAGACCAGCAAACCCATAGAAACATTAGAAGAAAAATTTAAAGATATAAGCCATAAACATAATATAGTTGGGGAAGCCAGCCCTGCACATGTAGATGAATTGACTGATATTTACAGAGCACATACCTGTTAGTATCATTTAAACTGTGAATTGACAAGAAATGCTAAATAGAGAAAAGTTAGCAGTCAAGTGAGGAGTCAGGTTTTAAAGGCAAGAAAGCTACAGGCATTTCAGGTAGAAAGCATAGCATAAATCTGAGTGAAAAGTGGTAACTCAGTGATATAGGGTCCTTGAAGGACAGTGAATAAGAAATGGGTTGAAAATTGTAGCTGGTTAAATATTAAGCCAAAGCACTTGATGTGGTAAGAAACCAGATTAAAATGAATTGGGAGAGTTGGACATTATACAAGGACAGAGAAATCAGAATGGGTTCAAGAATGATATTGACCCATGATAAAAGGATGGTAGTGACTATGATAGTGAATCTGGAGATACAAAGCCACAATATCATTAAAAATTATTAGAAAGGAAGAACCAGCAAAATGTGAATATTGGTTATGAAAAGCAAAGAACTCAAATTATTTAGATGTTGTCAGTTAGTGGATCTAGAAATAATGGTGATTTAATTAACACTGAAAGAGAAATTTGTTATGGTAGATGGAAAATTTTATTTAGTGTTGACATTCTACATTAAAGATATTTCTGGGTACCTACAGTGGAGATAATAAGACATTGACTGAAGCTTGAAAGGTCAGGCATTTCAGTCAGGCTTGCCCAAGTAGCCTCACCTGCAAACTGGTTTTTACTGAGCTTAATTAAGGTAGTGTGTGTGCCATACTCTGAGACCTCTGTAAGTGAAGTTGGAAAAAATAATAATCAAAAGGATTTTTTTTTTCATCTCATTGATGGAAGAGTGGAAGAGATATCACAGTAGTTTACTACTCACTCTGGATAGTTAAATGGTTAAATAACAAGTAAAGGAGGCATTAGAATCAAGGAGGCATCGATGAGAATCTAGATTTCAGATTTATCTTAAAATTGAAGTAGATTAAACTATGTTTACATGTCCATGACAATAATACATCCAAAGCAACTGACGTATTCTTGCTTTCATCTGATCTCCCAATGTTTTCAGGAGTTTGTGAAACTTGATTGTGTAATCATTCAATTTGAAATATCCAGTTGGAGGAAGAGGGAAAAATAAACCTTGGTGGCATCCCTTCATCCACACTCCTTTTCTGTCTGGTGTTTCTACTAAAAACACATATTTGGGATTCACTGTTAAATTAACCACCATCATTCCAACACTGATTATATTTCTTATTTACTAGCGATAGCTGTCTAATGTTTTGTTGTTCTCAAGGATTCAGGCATTTTCAAAAAGATTTTGAGCTCCATTTGCTTTGAGTATATGCCTCCTGTTTCCAAAATTTCTCAGAAGGGAGAAGGGGACGAAGGAGGTGGTCTTACTATTTCTTGAAGCTCAAATGACACAGAAGAGTACTTTTAGAGACATCTTGATTCTATTAGATTTTTCAGGTCAAAGGGCAGGTTCAACTCTTATGTAGTTTAAAGCACCAGGGATGGAGTGAAAAGACCTCTTTAATGACTTAAAGTTGGGTTTCTGCTACTACCCACTCATTATGCAAGTAATATGGCATGTTAGTCAAGCAGTAGGGGGTCACTAATCACTTTGAAAGGTTCTGTGTATACATTTTTTTTTTTTAACTGAGGGAAAGACTTTAACAGAAGAACAAGGAGAGTAATTTAGCAGGAAGAGCATTGCAGTTCTTATTTTGCTCTGGGCTGTGGCATACATATATTACCTTTCATATTATATGTGCGTATATTACTCCCTCGGGGCTCATGGGAAATGAAGTCAGAATGTGCTTCACTAGCCAGTCTTCCTCTTCTGTAGATAGACTTGAGTTAGTAAGACTCTTAAAGCCAATAATTATTAATCCTCATCAAGGTTCATTTTCTTTAAAATAGCCATATTTGATTTTGAATAGGTGACTTCCACATCTCAAGCAATTGACTCTGAATAAAAAGGAGCTGTTTCTGGTATTTTTATTTTCTTCTTTATAGTTTTCTGTATCTTCCAGTTCTTCCATGAATGCAAATTACTTTTATCAAAGTTACCCTTTTTGTTCCCAAAGAACCAGTTATATTTAAGAGTTAAGTGGCTACTGAAATAAGATTATTTTTGTAATTTGTTTTTTTTTCCACGCTAAATTCCATTTCCTCTGAAAAGCAGGGTGTTGGCTAAAATTTTTTTGTTTTGACACTTTTGAGTGCTCTCTGTAAAACTTAACCACGTAAGTTCACCTATACCCCATGGTCTTTACTACCAGATGTATTGAGAGAACAACAATTTTTCTTATTCCCAAAAATTAGATGGCTGTTACTATTTATTACATTTAATATTCTTGCCTCTCTTTGGAATTTTTTTCTTCTGAATTTTTAATGAAGTTGTTCTCCCCTATAGTTGTCCATTTCAAATTTACCAAAATTGTAGACAAGAGAACAATACTATCTCTTTCTTTCCAAAAAAAAAGAAAAACCTAAAAACTAATATACTCATTAAAGATTCTGACATTACCCAATATATATGTGCAATATATAATAAAAATATTTTATTCTGGACTATCAATTGCCCTTTGTAGGCACATACACATGTAGAAATCAGTATCAAGGGTATACTTTTAAAATGGAAAGGACAATGGTATTTAAACTGTTAGGGAATTTTCAGTGATTGTGAGCAATGGGTATGGGAGATGAAGTTTTATTCTGTGCAGTTTGTAGCATATTATCAATGCTTAACAAAAAATAACATAAATGAAATAATAAAATTTCAATTTGAATTTTATATAAAAAGAGAAAAAGATTTAAAATGATATATCTTAGTAAAAAGGCATTATTGTGGTGGCTCACACTCTAGTGCCACATCCTTTATTTTAAAATTTAGAATCTGAATTGTCACCTGTTATATCATATTGCAGTTTGGGAATGTGACATTTTACCCCAGAGATTAACTGTACCGCACTAGCTGGCCAAGCATATCATTTATAAAAGAATTTGGAATTCGGTCAAGATGCTTCACCAACATAGAATAATGTTTACTATTTCACATTATGAGGCTTTCCTTGAGCACAGAATGGAACTCAGATCCCATCACCTTTGTATCTCGCATTTGCAAAGATGCTTATTACTTGATCTAATTGCATACAGTCATTTATCTTTCATTCATCTTCTGTTATTTGCCTGCTGCTAAATGTGTAATTCTGACTATTGGTGCACAGAAATGCTGCAGCACCCTTATTGAGAAAACACATTTCTCATTCCAGCGTTGTCAGTCTTTGAGCTTCCCCAAAGGGAACAGATGACAGCAATCAGCAGGAAATTGTGCATAGTGAGACCAACTTGAACTCCTCCACCTTTAAGCTCATTTCACCACTTAACATTTTTTTCAAGTGGTCAGTGGATATATTTAGACTATTGTTATCCCTTTGGTGTTGATTAGAACTTCACGAGATAAGCCATCTGCCATTTTTTTAGAATTATATAGAGTGTGGGGACAGTGGAAAATTAGACTGGGGTCACTGAGAATCTTCTTTCCTTCCAACAGCAAAGACTGGTTAAACAAATCTTCATTTCCATGATGTAAGCTGATCTATATCCTCTATTTGTTAGTACTGCTTGTTCAGAGTTCTCCAGACCTACCCATCCAGAAAATAGAAAATCCTTGTCAGAATATGCAAAAGATAGTCTTCCAGTTTGTGGCTAAACTAAAACTCTTCCAGATGACTGCTATTGAAGCATAATTATCTTAACAAAAGACAGAAGCAAGGTTAAACTTGGGCAGTTCATTCTCAGATTCAGCATTTCCTTAGGTCAAAAGCTCAGGCCACTTAAATAGTTCCTGTAAGTCAAATCTGCCTTCTTAGAGATGACTTAAATAAAAGATGCGCTATTGAGGAATGCATTTTTGACTGTGAGACTAATTGTTCACCAACTTCATTCTGATTATTTTGTAAATTTCTCCTGTTCACCCCTCTTTTAAATCCCACCTTCTTTTCCTCTGGATGTGAACCAAAAAGTCCTTAGCCAAACCACAAGGAATCTGTAAGGTTTAAGTTATTGTTTCAAAGTGCACAGATCATTGCCAAATAAAGCCATGACTGGAAACGTATTTGCATTGATGAGAGAAAGAGAATTGTGGATGTTTAGAATGCTCCAAGAACAGATGGCTGATTTTCTAAATCCTATCTACTAATGTTTACAATTTGTTATTCACTCTGTACATAAAAATGTTTTCAGTTTCAGTAATGCCTCAATTTGCCTGGAAGGTACCAAATGCTTATCAAAAGAATAAGTTAAATGAGTCAAATGTATGGGTGACAGTATTATTCTTAGTTTAAAAGTCATTAGTTTTGTTTACTTTTCGAGTTTAACTATAACTATAGGAGCTCTTTATTAAGATGTCTGTATAACATGTGATAAAGACATTACAATCAGAGAAACCTGAGTGGGATTCCTGGCTGCACCATTACTTGGTGTGAATTTGGGCAAGCTATATAAGCTCTCGGAGCTTTGGGTTCATCACCCATAAAATGGTGTGATAATAATAGTAACTTCAAAGGATTGTTTTCAGGATAAATGAAAACCCTGGAATTTTCCTTATTTTGTAGGCAAGAAGCTCTTCTGGCTGCCATTAGTGAAAAAGATGCCAACATAGCTCTTCTGGAGCTTTCATCCTCTAAGAAAAAGACCCAAGAGGAAGTGGCTGCACTGAAGCGGGAGAAGGATCGTCTGGTACAGCAGCTCAAACAGCAGGTATAACTAAATGCCAGGGAGGGCCCCACCATAGAGGGTCAGTAGGTCCAGCTTTCACACCGTTCCCTACCTTTATCTTTGCCAGCTTGTATTTTAAGGTCTTGTGTCTCATATTAGACATCTGATCTTTGTATCTAGTTAGTTTTCATAAGCAGAGACTTTAATCTTCACAAATCTCTGGCTTTATCTAGGAATTAGAGATGTCACAAGTCTCTCATGAGAAAGTTTTTTTGGTTTTGTTTTTGAGAGAGAGAGAGCATGCACATGCTCAAGCTGGGAAGGAACAGAGGGAGAGAAAGAAAATCTTAAGCAGGCTCCACACCCAGCACAGAGCCCGACCTGGGGCTCAATCCCACAACCATGAGCTCATGACCTGAGCCGAAATCAAGAGTTGGTTGCTTAACCAACTGAGCCACCCAGGCATTCCTGAGAGCATTTTTTAACTTGTGCAATAGCTGGATGAAATTAATGAAATTCTGCCCGGGTGAAATGAAAAAGGCTCATTTCTTTTGAATGATCCAACCAGAGTCCCACTGTATAGAAGGCATATTTTTACTTAAACAATTCTAGCCTATTCAGAGCTAAGTATGTTCTGAAGATAGGGGCAAAGTTTTGCCCTTTTCTTTTCCAACCTAAACCCTCCCCAAATGTAATGCTTAATATTTATGTAAAACCTGTGGAAATAAAAGCTAAACACTTCCCTTTTGTTGATGGTTGGACAATGTTGTAAATGTACTTAGTGGACAGAACTATATACTTAAAAATGGTTAAAATGATAAATTTTTTGTTATATATATTTTACCACAATTTTTAAACTGGGGGGAAAATCTTTGAAAATAAACAGAAAGCTGAATCTAAGTCCCCTTATTTATCTTTAATGCTCTTCACTGGCCATTCTTGTACTGTTTGCAGTGTCCACAAGTCATGTCTTCTAGTATCATCTCCTTTATTCTCAGATACATTTTCTGTGCGTTGTGTCTGCCTTCATTTGCTCTTCTGTCTGAAGTAATAAGACTGGGAAAGAGTTTTTCAAGTGAAGGAATTTCTTCTTTTCTACTCTAGGGGATCATTAATTGATAGTATTTTTACATAATATTTAATGTTCAAATTAACAAGAATCAGTATTTACACAATAAAAATAATTGTTTGTGGGCCATTATTAAAACTGTGTAGAACTAGATTTTATGTTTCTGTGGCCAACTTTGCTGAGAAAATACCAAAAGATGTCCCTTTTCTTTTCTTTTCCTTTCTTTTCTTTTTTCTTTTTTAAATATAATTTATTGACACGTTGGTTTCCATACAACACCCAGTGTTCATCCCAACCAGTGTTCATACATGCTACATTTACATCCCTCCTCAATGCCCATCACCCACTTTCCCCTCTCCCCCACCCACCCCCCATCACCCCTCAGTTTATTCTCAGTACCCAAGAGTCTCTTATGGTTTGCATCCCTCCCTCTCTTTTTTCCCCCCTTCCCCTCCCCCGTGGTCTTCTGTTAAGTTTCTCAAGATCTACCTGTGAGTGAAAACATATGGTATCTGTCTTTCTCTGAGGATGTCCCTTTCTACAGGATAGATAGATGACCAGCAAGAAAACCCAACCCACTGCTCATTTATAAGCAAAAGAAACTTTTCCAGTGTCCTAAAATAATTTGTCATAAGAAGAGGACATCAACCAGTATTTGGATACCGGTTAAGTAAAGCAGGAAGAATGTGCTTAATTTTAAGGACATCTGGGGGTGCCAGGGTGGCTCAGTCGATTGAGCATCTGACTTTGGCTCAGGTCATGATCTTGTGGTTCATGAGCCCAAGCCCCACATCAGGCTCTGTGCTGACAGCTTAGAGCCTGGAGCCTGCTTCAGATTCTTGTCTCCCCCTCTCTGCTCCTCCCCTGCTCACACTATCTCTATAAAATGTCTAGCAGACTAGAGTACTGCATCTCATTCATAGTAGCTTTTGATTACTTGGTTCTCAAGGCTATATGTTTTCAGTAGGTGAAAGTTGAAGATATGAACTTATAATCTTTAAAAATAATGGCTTAATGCCTTTACATCTAACTATATGCCCTGAGTATTCTATAGTGATGTGATCTATGTAAGGAGAAAGATAAATGTAGTTCTTGGGAGTCCTTCCTAACAGTGTTTTCCTGTCTTCTTTCCATGTAAAGTTTCATATTCCTGCTGTCTCAAAGAGTATCTAGGATGCTATGAGCAAGAAGGAACCGGTCTTGCCAAAGATATTTGATTCTTTAATTTTTCTAAGTGTGTGTACTAACTTTTAGACAAGGGAGAGGCCTTTTGGAAAGCGGATATGGCATCAATATTGTTTTAATTTAAAGCTTCTAGTCCTTGACTTGCTGGAATGTGCCTCAATCTAAAGGCCATTTCCTAACAAGGAAGCAGGCAACGTTGACCGGGCTTTCCAGTAAATGGAGCTGCCACTGCCTGATGGGCTCTTGGCATTCATGGGCAGTTCCTATTGTCAGAAAGAGATGAAGCAACAAGGGATTTACAGATTTCGGGGTCACCCTCTAAGATGGTCCCAATTTACATACCCACCCCAGGGTAACTTATTTCCGTGACTCATTCATGGCAAAGCAGCACTTGGAGAGGCTGCATCAGAGGAAGGGGCCAGAGCCAATGAAAAAAATAAAACCTAAAGGTTGTCTAACAAACTCCAGATGTGCTGTGGTGGGTGCCAACCAGTGTGTTCGGATTATAAGTCATGAAGAAGCCCCTGCTGTGATTGTCAAGCACCCACGCTGGATTTAATGTAAACTCACATGGAACCCTGGAAAGCATTAACACAATCTGTTGAGCCACAGCAGCTGTCACAAGATGGCCTTTCTCTCAGCATTATTTTCTTCTTTTCACCTCAAGAATTTTATAGCCTCCATATTGTATTTGCTGTTAGTGTGAAGTCTGGCTCTGCCCCTGTGTGTGCTCTGTGCAGATGTGCCATGGGCAGATTGGGCTTTTTGAGACAAGCTACATGGTTGGGTTTGTTTTGTTTTGCTTTCTTTTGTTTCTGTTTTTTTAAAGGTCAACTATAACTTTATGAGTAAATGCTACAAACTTAAACTGATGTGGTTTGAATCTAGACAGTCTCATTTACAACTATAATTTTGGAATCCTCTGCATTAGGATGAAATGTCAACAGTATATTCTTTTATTCCAGCATTGTCTAGGCATGAGGGATATAAAGACACAGTACTTGCCTTAAAGAAGAAGCTCACAGGGTAGTGCTTAAAATACTAGTTGTTCTAAACATTTGGCAAAACCATTCTGTAGAAAGTAGTCTTACCATCATTTCCTGCTGACAGTCTCAGCAAATCATCCCTGCATTACGTGATTTATTTGCCCGTTTATTTCACATTTTTTGAGTATATACTGTGTGTCAAATATTGTATAAATGGAAAATGAATGTCTTCCTAGTTAACAACCTGGCAGAAAGCTAATCAGACCTAGATTGTACCTCTCTCTAGCTGTCTCTTTTACCAAAGAGACAAATTATTTCTCTGAGATTCATCTATAGAATTTGGATAATGTTACCTGCCTCACAGGGTTGGTGTGAAATTAAAGAACACAGCAAACCCATAGCACTTAGATTTCCACTTTCAGAGATCCCTGTTTCACAGTGAGAACTGTGCTATCTCTAGGTGATACATGCTACATTGAGGGAGGGGAGAGCTTCAGTAACTATGGCTCTCCTTCTCAGTCATCTCTGATAGCTGTTTACTTTTCAGTATGACTATTGTATTTAGAATTATATAGCCAGCACATTGTGTTCTACTCCTGTGAGGAAGAACATATTTCTCAGAGCACTTAAGAGAATAAGTGGTATTTTTTATCCTTCCTTTTTCTTTTTACCTGTTTCTTCAGTGATAGAACTATAATACAGCATTTTTCAAAAATCATTCTGATATATCTTTTTTAAGTCTTATAGTTTCATCATAGAAGATCATTGTTTAAACGCCCACCTGCCTGAAGTTGTCAGGGCTAGGAACGTTACCACACCCAAACATGTATTCTCACTCTCTAGTTCTGTGACTTTCTGCTTGCATACATGCCTCTTCTAGCCCTGACTCATACAAGTTCTCAGAAATATGTGAAAATAGGATAACTACAAAAATAGCTACCACTTATCAAGTGACTATAATATGCTGGGCATAGTTGCTTTATACACATCATATCTAATCCTCACCACAGTTCTGTATGGTATTATCTCCATTATGTAGATGAAGCACCTCAGACCCCAAAAGATTAAATTTCTTGGCTAAATTTCCACAAGGACTAAGTGGAAGGACCAGAGTTCATTCTCTTCTTACTCTTTCCATCTTACATGGAAATTCCAGACAGTTGGTAATTAGGAAAGTTGTATTGCAATTCGAATAATACAAACAATGTTGTTTTAAGTTTTTATGACAGTTGTTTGTTCCCCTGAGAGATGGGAAAGGGTATTTTTTATATTTCAATACTTCCCCTCTCTTCCTCTGAAGAACCTGAAACAAAAAGGAAATGGTGTGATTTGACTCTGTTCTCCAAATTACTAAGAGAAATGATATGAACTTGAAGCTGCAAAAGTACGGTGAGGTATAATTTAGCTTCTTTTCTGTCTTTGGAGATGGCAGTACTCTATCAGGACTAAACATGCTGTTGTTCTAACAGTGCACCTTCACTTTCATGTCCTGCCTTCTTTGAACCATCTGCAAATGGCTCCTAAAAGCACCAGCTGGGAGCCAGCCTCTCAGAGACTTTGACCACCCTGAATATATGGAGACTTTCCAACTTCAGAGTGATTATAAAAGAGTGTTTGGTCCCCTGGATCCCTGACCAGTGTACGGGTAGTGAAGAGATATTCTAACCCTGCAGCTGTCCAGCAGGTAGCCTCTGTGGCCAGTTTGTTTGGCCTTTATGTGGGGTTAAGAAAATTGCCCACATAAGCTCTGCTATCCCTGACCTTATCATGTGTGAACATGACATGCATGAAATAAAGAACAA